TTGATTTGAATATGTGTATACAATTAGGTCTGCAACTAGTGTAAGGCTTGATTATGATTTGGACATTCAAACCAGGGACGTGATAGAGAAGGACTGGAATCAAGCCGCTCTCCTTTGACCCCATGATCCAAGCCGCCGAAAAGTTATGCGCTTATATCAGGGGCGGATCTAGCTTTTTGCTAAGGGGGGGGGTTGACCAAAATAATGACGATGCGGAGCATCGTCCACGAGCCGCGAAGCGGCGAGCCGATTTTTTTTGGGGTGTTTATTTGAACTCCGTAAGTGATGTTTTCCTGGCATCTATTAACACAATGGAGACCATAAAAAGCAGTGCATGATAACGTCTTTTTAAATCAAGTAACAGTAAATACACAGTTATATCCAGAGTTATTATGTGTTTGGTTAAGTTACCAGATGAGTTGAATATCTTCTCACAATATTTGCACTTGAAAGGGTTTCTCTCCAGCGTGCGTTCTTTTTTCTTTCTTTTTTTTTTTTTTTTTTCTTTTTTTTTGGTTTTTGGGCCGCCCAAGGGGGGGGGGGGTTTAAACCCCCTAAACCCCCCGTAGATCCGCGCCTGTATATGCAACTGTTGACCAGGTGGTGAGATAAAGTGCGCATGAAATTTCAGGATTTAGAATTCCTTCCTCAGGAAATTGTATCACAGCAACTTTTCGCTGTCCGTTTCAATGATTTCGCATTCACTGTTGAATGTGTAAAGAGTAGAACAAGCGAACACAAACTTGTGTAATTTCATTCTCTATTCCAAATGCAAAAATACCACAAACAAAACGAAAACACGCATTAGCAAACTTAAAGTTATCGAAGATTGTAAATCATGGATTACATAACGGGACATTAAAACATGCACAAATTAGCGCATTATCCTAAAAATGTGAGTTTTTGTCAGGATCTAATTTTTCTTTTACCAACTCTGGCACATAAATTATAGGAAGGGCGGAGTCCTAAATTTGAAAAATTGTTTGATGCACTATTCTTAATACAATCCCTATATAAAGTTTATAATTTACACTGAAATTTTGCCGGTAATTTAATATTTTGTGATAAATGTGAAACTGGTGCCTGGCCTCCATAATTCCTCGCAGTGGAAGCGCAGCTCGGAGGAGCATGCAACTTCAAAGCAAAGTAAAATGTTACACATCCCATTGTTACGCTTTAGAACTCACGAATGCATTTGAATAAATTACAAGAGTTTCGACTCCTTTCTTTCACCTCCCTGTTTAATGCGTATTATTCTTAAATGTTAGTTTTATAATGTTCTTACCTTTGCTTGTGAGCTTTGGTGATATTCATTATTTTTATTTCCGTGTACTACATTGTTATGCAGGACCATGATGTAAAACAGATTTTGTATCTATATCTGATTCTTGTAATCCAGAATAAATATATTTCAATAAACACAATGTTAGAATGGGAGTGATAGCTCCTTGGTCATGTTGGTAGAGGGACACATGCTTTGGTATGGTGGGCTCTGAGAAAGGAGGTGCTTATAGAAATAAGACTCTTTGTTGGATTTGGGTGTGTCCCTCGCAGGACCTACAGTTCATGTATATGGAGAGAGACAGAAAATAGCTGTTTAAGTCTGAACCTGCAATGTATCAATAAAGATGGAACCAATCCTGCGTCCTTATTGCTCGTTACAGTATTGAACACAGTTTACCAAAAGACTGGTCCCCCTCCCTCCATCACAATTATTTTTGGTGGGGAGGGGGGGGGGGAGAAGGTTACCGAGCGGCGACTTCTTTCAAAATGTAGTGCCCTTCCAATAGCATTCTTACTACGGCTCAATTTTCAATCCTTCGTCAAGTATTCGTAAGGAGGGGCAACCCCCCCCCCCCACCCCTTCCACCAGCCCCTCCTTTAAAAACCTAGTGAACCGAAGTCAGGATAGGTCCGACCACATCACATACAAAGTCTTTCGATAAATCAGCTCATAGCTCATTTCAATTGTTATTGTATTGCCTATCAATTACCTTCGTATTTCGTATTATATCATTGTCATGTCAGCACATTCAAAGAGAAATTAGGCCAAATAAGGCTTTAGAAATTACCACGTATAAATATATATATATATATTTATATATTTTTCTTCAAGTCTACAATATCATGGATTGGTTTTCTCTAAACATTTTTTTCCTTCTCTATAACAATCATGGATGGCGTCTTATTTTTTCTAAGTAGAAAATGCTCCTTGGCATTTTTTCCCCATGTCCTTCCGAAAAGTCGTCAACAAACTTTTTCTTTGCGATGACTGATGTTTACTTTCACCTCCATAATATTTTTGATTTGATTTGATTTTCTTCTGCATACATGTAAGTTTACAGTTTTTCGATAACAATAATATAAAGTACAATAAGTATTTTACTGACAATGAATCATAAATTAGCAAATACATATATATATATATATATAAACTGTTATTTTCAAAAACGAAATGATAAACTGTCACAAATACTAAATTTCCTCAAACATTATAACACATAAAATTATTTGCGGAAGAAGGACTGTCATTGTAAGCAGATTGCTCGGTAGTACGACAGCCCCAGACAAAAACTCATGAAATATATTAACACATTTATTAAGCAGAAACGAATAGGTAATTGAATATACAAATTTCGATGATGGTGATGCAGATGAGGATGATGATGATGATGATGATGAAGATGATGATGAGGATGATGATAATGATAAGTGTTTTCACTGAAGGCATGGGTTAATCGTGACGATCTGATTGCTATATTTGTCCCGTGATGTAAGGTTGTGAACATTTATTTCTTCTTCAAAACCAAGATAAAGTGTGGGTGCACAACATATGTCATTATCTCCCACAAGGACAAGCATTAACTCAAACGTGACAAAAATAAGTAGAGGTCCTCATTCTGGGGATTTCCAACTTCTCGTCCTAATTTCGCCCACGCCAAATCTCCTCACTTATTTATAAACACACGACCTCTGTTTAAAATGCTCATTATTTGTCCTTACTTCTGAAAACAATGTCAAAATTCGTTTTAGCCTACTTGTAAAATCATTTATGTTATTGTAATAGACTGTGTCAGTGAAAAACTGAACGTTTAGAGTGACTTTCAAGTCGAAAGATCACTTTATGAACTTTTTAAAAAATATAAATGCATGACCTCAAGAAGTTAATTTTGTATGCAATGATAATTAGCAAAAGTCCGTCACGTAAGCATAGAATGTGAAAAAAAAATCAATCTCCACTCTGTCAGCCTGGTATGACCCCGGTCAGTGAGAATATACATCATTTTTCATATCTATACTCCATCAAAAATGCATTACACAATCCAGATCCCTTGCTTAGTTGAAATACCGGGACCAACTTTTAGAAGTAGTTCGTTTCCAAACTAAATAGTTGGTACACTGTGTTTGAACCTGGCGTCTATTTTGGAAAACTGACTCTTACATACATGAAGAGGCTTGACAAGCGAGACATGCTTTGTCAATTAAATAAACAAACCAAATAAATGAAAGAAGACGTGTTGTTAAATACACAGAGGAATCGTAAGAGAGAGTGAGAGAGCGAGAGAGAGAGATACAGAGAGAGCGGAGGGAGAGACACAGAGAGACAGAGAGAGACAGACAGAGAGAGAGGGGAGAGCGAGCGAGCGACAGCGGAAGAGAGATGGATGGTTTAGAAGGGGTCTAGAAGTTAGATAGGTGAATATAACAAAAATATATTTAAAATGGAGAGACATATACAAAGAAATGCGAAAAAGACATAAGTGTTGTCCAATGATTCTATTAAAAAGAGAGTAGTTGAACAAAGGAAGTGACAAACATGTGAACAGAGAGACTCTCCTTGTCCCTAGAAAGTGGGTGAAGTGAGCAAAGATGTTGACGTTTGCCACCAACAAAAAACTCGCCTGGCGATCAAATTTATTATTATTCTCGTAACCAATACCGCAAGTGCATGAGAAGTAGACTTAATTAGAATACGAAATGACTTTGTATCGTGAGTTAAGGAAGCAGTAAAGCTATTATCAAACTCCTAGAGGGGGGACGACTCTCAATTCAGAGACCTAATTCGTTGAATGATATAAAGACTGTCAATGTATCTGGAACAGTTCCAAGGTGATAATTATCTTGATAGAAGACTCGGGATTTAAATAAGGTGGTTTGTGACAGAAAAGATTGACAGAGACCAGTCTGCAGAGGATAGGTATGCTTGAAGTAAAGTAGGACAATGCCATCATCCTAGGAGGTCTATCAAACTAAAGGAAGCAGAAGTACTTGATTCACTTTAAAACAAACTTTACACTTAAGATAATCAGTTACTTCTATTTCTAAGCAATAGTGCGGAAGAATTATTATAATAACTTCCAAGCTTGGTACTGTTTCGACATAGAGTAGAATTTCCATCCAAACAGTTCAAAAAACTTGTTTTCAAGAAAAATCGTTGACCAGTATTTGCTGGAAAATACAAATACTGCGGAAACATGTGGTTCATCTTTCAGCTTACATTCTTTTCATTATGATATGAGGCCCACTTGTTAATCTTGCTTTTTCACTTAGGAACATATTCCATGTAATCTCTCCATTTTAATATCAATCATATACATTATTATCTTCAAGCTTTACCTTGATACATAATTTCTTTCATCGCGATTGAAGTTTTCAGCGTTATTTGACTACACTTTGATTGCTGACAATGTAGCAGCTGTGTTCGAAAAAAGTTAACTTCGTCTCATTTTCATGTCGTTGTGATGTTATGTTATGACGAACATTAATGTGATCAGGTTGGGGTACTTTTTGTATAGACATACAAAAGAAAAAATATCTGCATGCTATCATATCAATGTTATATCAAAATATTATACTTCAACAGCTTTGATAAATCTCAGACATATTTATTTTATGATATTGATAAAAAGCAATATCATGGCAAACTTTACAAGCTCTTTCTGCTAGCTCATGTAATGAAATATCATCGCAATATATGGAAAGTAAACGAGTTTAGTTTATATTGCTAAGGTGTTGATTGATATGTCCTTTATCTTTCCATGTCAGTTCCGAAATGTCAGACGTGCCGCCTACCTATATTGCGACCTGTCTGTGGTAGTGATGGGAAAACTTATTCATCCTTCTGCGATCTTCAACGAGCTGCCTGCATTATGAAAAGTAAACTCAGAAGAACAAATCTCCAGTTCTTCCGCTGGGGGAAATGCTCCTTCGTAGCAACCAGTGTTAAGGCAATGGATAACGACAAGGGTGTCCGAACCACTCCTACACCGGGTAGCAAACAAGTGACCACAGAACCAACCACGCACACATTCTCTAGGCACACGCCCTTCACGCACACACCATCCACGCACACGCCCTCCACGCACACGCCCTCCACGCACCCACCTCCCACCACCCACACACCAACCTCGCCAATGACTACGCGCAAGAAAGTGTGTTATGTGTGTTATCCCGTGCTCGTAGCTAGGCCTGTGTGTGGGAGCGATGGCCACACCTACGATTCGATGTGTCAGCTTCTACGAGTGGCTTGCCTGACGGAACGAACTACGGGTCGACGAGGACCATCTTATATCAACTCAGGACGATGTGCGCCAACAACACCAAAGACATCGTGAAGCCAGGGCTAGAGAGGAGAAGCGCCCGTTTTCGAATGATTGTTTTGATTGAGCTTTCTTAAATTAGTTCCTGGTTCAAGCTCAGACAATGATGACTGAATTTAGACGAGTTTTAAAGTCAGTTCAGGTAATACAAAGTTTTGGTATGAGGTCATGAATTTTGTTCAAATGAACATATTGGAAGCATATGCGATCCTACAATATGCAGTGGTCGTTGTCGCGGTTGTGAATCGAGTCTAAGGTTATGAAATTGTAAATAATACACTCGTTATGTTGTATAGCTCCCTCTCAAGGCCAATATATTAATTAAGCTATAAAACAATGTTTCTTAACCAAAATCGACCGATTAGCTAATCCCGTTTGGAAATTATATATCACAACTACATATTCTGATATTGTCATGGTCGCAGCTACCATTGTACGACCGTAGGCGCTATTTGAAATTTATCCAAATTTACCGGGAGCACCAGTAAATTTTTATATTCCATTCTTCTCGAAAGCAGAAGTGTTTTAAGATCTAATTTTTTTAGAGCTTATAATACATCCAATGGGGCATCCAAAAATATCAAAATTGTAAAGAATCACTATCCACCCAATTTAAAAAATTTCCCAAAACTTTGTATAACCTTTAAGTTTCAATTTGACATTAAATATTTTTTAAATGCATTATGATTACCATGGTTACGTTGATGACTTTTGACCCAATAAGTAACATTTAAATCAGATGATATCAACTTTTCTCAAGTATATGTCTATGAGTATAAATTAATATTTTTATTTTTTATTTTCACACGAATTGTTATGAACCATGTTCTTAATTTGGAGTTTGGCTTGATTATGTCACAACAATGAAGAAATGAATTACGAAGGTCGATTCATTTTTTTTTAAGATGTCAATGTATATGTTGACGACAACATCCCGACGGGAAAATTATGCAAAATGTTCTGGGAAATTCTAAAAAATTAAATTGGTAGGGCAAACATATATATTTTCCTTTTATATGATTTAAAGAGAATTGTTTACTGCGACTTAAGTAGCGATTGGTAATTGTATTTGGAGTTATCATCGAAAGAAGAATAGCATTTTTGTTTTGTTACAATGCAAAGGGGTGCTCTGAATTTAGTCTTAAATCATTGATATCGTTGATTTAAATCTAAAGTTTTTACACTTGACGTATATTTGTCCTTTTTGTTAATGGCAAAATACTTGATATAGATGAACAAGTGAATTCCCGATACATCGTCAACCCTTCACAATTACTTCTACAACATGAAACATTTTCTCCACATTCAGTCTAATCGCAAGTATAAATCTTTATTATTCTCTTAAAATAAAAAGCTCTCGTATTATCTGAGTCTCAGCTGAGTAAAAAGTCTAAACATTTTGTATGTTTCCCTTGATTTATCTGTAAAACCATTGTAATCCTAATTGGTCGCCATGCACATCATCCATTACGTTATCAGAACAGACTCTTTCTTTGAGCCATTATCAAAGCCATTCAACAGAGTCTCTAATGATCCTTTTACCAATGCGATATCAAATATTCAGACACATTTGTATCTGTTTTGTTATCACTTTAATGTAAATGTATAGGGCCAATGGGATAATTTTTCATTATTTTATTCAATGTCGTGAGCAGAAAACTTATTATTTAAGCGTCGTGATGGTGGGCCAGGGATATATCAATCTTGAATATGATTCTACCCAAATGCATCATTAGCAATAACTCAAAGTCAAAACATCTAAACTGGATCCGTTAAATTGCGGGGAAAATCTTCGAATTAAAACAAAATATTTTGCTGTAACATGTTGACAAAAACGAAACCACTCAAATTTCGGGTTTAATTTTTTTTAATGAAGTCACAAAATAATAAATAAACGGCAGATATATACATATAGGCAATTGAGCGAGTACGTTTTTAATATTCAGTTAAAAGGTTAATCGATTTGCTTGAGTTGTCTATTATAATTAATTTGTGTGACTATGAGTTTGTGTGTTTATTCATTGAAAGTATAGTCACTTGTTGTAAATAAGTCTTTAATAATGTGTAAATCAGGCAATGTAAACACATTGCCTTCAATATTCAATGATGCCAAAACGGGACTATTTCTGAGGTAACGATGTTATTATTTAAAATTCTTGTTACAGTGGAACTCACTCGTCTCTTGAATTACAAACGTCCTTTCTAATCTTATGAAAGTGATAACAATCTCTAAAACACCCTGCGCTCCACAAAATAATTCACCGGTGGTTCGATCAAATCCAATATTACCATATTCAGTTCCACAGACTTTTCCTTCTTATTCGCATTAGTAATACAAAAAGAGTGCTAACGTAGCTTCAAATGCTCTATTTTTGTTAACCACTACGCTTCTTTGCTGGTACCCAATTCGAGGTTGGAATGTGAAACCAGTTTTTGTTGCGCACGCGGTATACCTCGTGCTCTCGAAAAGGTCAGTGAATAAATCGAGGAAATTGCAGAATAATGTTTCTTTCCAATAAACACTCTCTTGCCTCAGGGCTGTTTTTTCCTCCATCCATAAAAGAAATCATTAACACATCGTCTTGAAAAGCAGATAAGAAAAGAGATTGTTAAAGACATCTTACCCACCCCCTCAAACCTCCTTAGGTCTTAGCGTAAAGCAGGTGCCGTAAAGTATCTTTTAATCTCATTTTAATAGTAAGCTCCTAATCCCAATGCGATTTCAATAAGAATGTTGAGTTTCAATTATGAATTTCTAAATAATTCGTTAACCCAAAGGTTTGTTTGTAATGATGGAAAAAACAAGTTTGCGTCATTGCATTGGGAAAAGCGAAAGTGGCGGGTGGTGCAGGTCTTTAAGATTAATGAAAATTAATATGAGAACTTCTCTCTTTATCAAGTCATTGGGGGAATATCTTGCAGAGACGTATATTAGACCTATTCATGATACATATTTATTTTGACATCTGCTAACAACTGCGGTCGACAAAAAGAAGTACTCTATGGAATTCCTTATCATAAAAATTTACTTTAGAATAAAGGTGATTTCTTTGGAAAACCATCTTTTTTTTTCTATCGAGAGAGAACTAAATCGCTTTAAATAAAAGAAGCAAGTTAACATTGCTAGCATAGCTTTGGAGTAATTCAGCAAATTTGATTGTTTGAGTTTCCTTAAGTTAGAATGTTTCTCTGATTTGAATGATTTTGCCATAAACAAGTTAATCTGGTGTTGGAGTTGCTCCTTAAGGGAGAGAGAAAGAGAGAGAGTGAGCATCCTTCCCTAAACTGAACAGAGCCAATAAATACATGTTCTTGATGAGGGAGTGTGGTGATGTGGGGGTGGGGGAGATGCCAAGATGTCAGAACTCATCAAGTGACTTAAAGTGACTCGGTAACATTGCCTCAGATTCTGAAACAAAACAATGGATTTAGCTCATGCTCCAATCATAATTATACACCTTTAGACAGTCAGGAATCCCATGACTTCTACAAGCCGAACGCCTGTCTGATTATCAAGATATTTATGATTGGAAACCGAAAAAATATGCCTTTTATAACACTACAGTCTATCGGGGAAATGAGTATGGTAAAATCGGTCACTCAAAGAATTTTTACTTTTGGGGGCACTTCATGATCATTTGTCTAGGGCTTCAATATGACACCATATCACAGACACTGATAACGCGTAGGGCCTTGCATCTCAGATTTAACATTGTAAAATGATGCCTTTAAAGATAAACTTTAGTACTGGTAATGCGATTGCATTGTGAAAGAAAAGGTGTGGAAAGGATCAGAAACAGTTGATCATGTAGCATGAAAGTATTGGTGTGCACTGCAAGGTTCTGGAGTCATCATAATCATAATAAATTTGACCGAGTCTTGGTAAAGTAACAAGCACTCACATAGAAAGCTATATATGGGACAACACACATGGTGTCGGGGCTAGTAATACCTTGATTTCCTTGTCTTTCTATGCTCATTACTCAGCCAGTATACATTTTCTTCCGAAATTGTTTGGCACATGTCATTAATTTGTTATCTTGAACATTCAGTGTAAGTTTCGTTTGATTCTGTGAGAATTATTATTCTTTTTTTACCAGTACTGGAGTTTATCTTTAAGAAGGAGTGGGTTTTATCAACGCACCCTCATCACTCACACTCAGCCTCCACACCCACGCACGCAGTTACGCACACCACATTCATGCCAATCGCTGTATATCAGAACCACTGAGCATAGCCCAATATCCTGCTCTGTGGTGACTTTCATGAATGAGTCTCGAGTAAATTAAGCTTCCCAAGATAGCGCTCATCTCCACATATAAATAAATATGAGGTTACAATTTCCCTCCAAGGAAGAACATAAGGTAAGCGCTTCTACAGAGATGTATACCTTTCGAATGTCATCTCAAGTTAAGTCAAATGTGCTTTTACGAACGGTTCGAAGTCAGATTTAATTTCCATTTATAGGGTAAACGATTTCAGAGAATTCTCTGTCATATGTAACTAACACATCCAACTCAACGTTGAAAGAAAAAAAAATTTACTTCTTGTTTGTCGAATTTGTATCTGACATGATTAATGGTTCTCCTCACATGAAAAACCGACACATAGTTCACAACACATAAAAGAACATAAATAATATGCCAATACACAATGGCAAAATATCACTGATCCCTACTTCAGTAATTTGTTTTTTTTTCTTCAATAAAATTCGGTATTACTGTCTCTATCTAAAATTATTTGCGTTTTATACCGTGAGGCCCTTAAATGAAGAATGTCATTATTTTAACTATTCTGCTTTAATTTTTCCAGAACCAAATTTAATGTGTGGTAACGTGTAATATTTCCTCTTCATTTTGTCAAGGTGTGGGGAAGAAAAACGTGTCAGATATGTCGAAATTTTAATTCTGTGCTAAAATGCAGGATAGAGATTAAAGCAAGGCCCAGTAATCACGTTACTGTGAAATAGTGAAGCTAAAAGATATACAGGTAAGCAGCACTTCTCAGCGAGTAAGGAGTTGTCTTTTTGAGCAGCCTATATTTAATTTAATTTAAATCCCTGGCAAAGAGTAAAGAAATGTAGAGAGGAAATAAGAAATACCTCTGAATAGTGACTGGGGATGCCAGTCAGAGTTGCAGAGCTTCTTCACGCAAATCAGTGGTTTACAACCAATATACAAACATGCACGAACATGTATATACAGTGAGGTCAATATTTATTATCGTGACAAAACAGATGACATCTTCGTCGGAAATCGTATTGATTAGAGAGGTTTACTCACGGTATATACATAATCTAATTTACTCAAAAACATGAACCA